AAAGAACTATAGAACAAAAGGTTAGAAGAAAAGAAATTGTGCGAAAGGCACTGGAGGACTTACAAAAGGTAAGCTGAATTCAATGGAAAAGACAAGGAAAGACTTACAAAAGGTAAGTTGAAGAGATATTGTGCCAAAGGCACAGAAGGGATTTACAAAAGGTAAGTTTAGGATAATAATCATCCTCAAGAAAAAGGCAAAGGAAAATTGCATAGGGTATTAGAACATCATTTAACCTCATAGGCACAACGATGGAGATGACATTATCTGAGTGTGGCGACCATTCAGTTCTTGGCCACACAGGTGTCAAGCGTCCAAGTTGATCGTGATGGGAATAAATTATACCCGATAAAAGTTCTTTCTCGTGCAAAAGGCAGTGAGAACGCTTACAAAAGGAAAATGAAAGGATAAGATTCCATGCAAAAGACAATGAAATTCCTCACAAAAGGTAAGGTGAGGAGATATCCCGTACAAAAGGTACGGAAAGACTTATAAAAGGTAAGTGAATGGATAAATATCTGGAAAAAAAACCTGATAGGACGTTCACAGGTAAATTGTGTCTTCGAGAATGACTGGCTAAGCGCGCATGTAATGATGCAGAATGTATGCAAGATGTTGGGGATATGAGGATATGGATTACAGGTAATGGTCGTGCCATGCATGGTTGAGCTTTGGTTTGGGTGCTAAGTAAAATTGGGCTTTGGGTTGGATGGGGAATGAGTTTAACTTCCCTATACGAATTCTTCATGATGCAATCAGGATTTGGAGATATTGAAGCTCCAAGTTGTTTTGTGCCAGTTCACCCTGGGCTTGATGGTTTTTGTCTTGGCCAAGTCACTTTGTGATTTTAATGGTGCTTTGCATGTTTCTCGGGGTCATGGTTACCCTTCAGACACCCTAAGAGAAAGAATAATCTTGTGTTTCCTTTTCACCACAATATTATTATCCCTTAAAAATTCAAATGCATTGCTTATCATAGATAAAACAATTTTTGCAAACATGAGGTAAAAATTAAAAGGGAGAGAAAACTTTTGATGAGAATAATCTTTATTGATGAAAACTAAAAAATGGGCATATTACAAGAGGAGGCAATTCCTAAAAGAGGTAATTTCTTTTAATGAAAATGGATAAAAATGCAATGGTAATGTTGAAATTGGTTATCTTTGAGTTTCAATTCTGCTATGATCCATATGTCTCTAAAGACCCTCATGCCTTGCTTTTAAGTACAACGATTGTATTGATCCTTCCCATTTGAAATTTTGTGATTAAAGAGAAAAATTCACAAGTTCCCACAGAATGCAACTTTTTCCTTTTGAATCCCTAATTTTTGCCTAGACCTCCCTTTTGGGTTTTCAGTCTACTGGGATACCCCTTTTTGCCTAAGTTATCTTTGTAGGATTTTAACTTAGCGGGTTATTTCTTTTGTTTTTGTCCTTAATTTTTTCCCGGACCTTCTTCTTTTTACATGGCCCACTAGGACCCCCATTTTTGCGTGGATTTTCTTTTTGGTCCATCGGGTCTATCTTTAGGCATAATATTTTTTAAATGCATCTGAATTCACATGGGATGGAAGATCCTCTTCGTCTATAGTCGAGAGAATCAAGGCTCTATCAGAGAAAACCTTTATCACTATATATGGACCTTCATAGTTCGGTGTCCATTTTCTCCTTGGGTCAGTGTGAATCGATTTAATTTTCCTCAAGACCAGATCTCCTGCTTCAATATGTCGAGGGTAAACTTTCTTATCAAAGGATCTCTTCAACTGCTTCTGGTATAATTGACCATGACAGGTGGCCTTCATGCGCTTCTCATCAATGAGGTTGAGCTGGTCGAGTCTTGCTTGCACCCATTCAGCTTCGTCTACCTTGACGTCTGTTAAAATCCTTAAAGAGGAATCTCTACTTCAATAGGCAGCACTGCTTCCATGCCATATACGAGAGAAAACGGGGTTTCCCAAGTAGAAGTGTGCGCTAAAGTGCGGTAGCCATGCAAGGCAAATGGAAATATCTCGTGTCAGTCTTTATACACTTTCACCATCTTCTGGACAATCCTTTTGATGTTCTTATTTGTCGCCTCAACAACTTCATTCATCTTTGGACGATACGGCGTTGAATTGTGGTGCTCGATCTTGAAGCTTTCACACAACTCTTTCATTATTTTATTGTTGAGGTTCAAACCATTTTCAGTAATGATTTTATTTAGAACCCCATATCAGCAGATAATATCTTTCTTGATGAAGTAAGCCACCACTTTCTTAGTGACGTTGGCATAAGATACGGCTTCCACCCATTTGGTGAAATAATTAATGGCCACTAAGATGAAGCAGTGTCCATTGAAAGTAGTGGGCTCGATACGTCCAATCACGTCTATGCCCTACATGGCAAAAGGTCAAGGCGACATCAGCACGTTTAAAGGAAGTGGTGAAGCGTGGATTTTATCTGCGTAGATCAGGCATTTATGGCATGTTTGCACGTGGCGATAACAATAAGTTTCTATTGTCATCCAGTAGTATCCCGCCCTTAATATATTTTTGACCATGGGTTGCCCACTGGAATGCGTCCCAAAAGATCCTTTATGAACTTCATTTATGATCCAGTCTGCTTCATGTTTATCCATGCATCTGAGAAGGACCGAGTCATAGTTCCTCTTGTAGAGGACATCCCCACTCAAGAAGAATTTTGATGAGAGCTTCCTTAAGTATTTCTTATTAATGATGGTAATGTTCTCTAGATACTCTTAGGTTTCTAGATACTGCTTGATATCATAGAACCACAAATGATCATCAATTTTAGGTTCTGCGGCCTCAGCTGCCAAACAGTAAGCTGGATCATCAAGGTACGAGTAAAACTATTTTTTTTTGTTTCTAGCGTTGTGTCATGCTCAAACAATAGATAGTGCTTCATATGTTTCTTTTTTTTTATGTAAGCAATCAACAAATATTCAAAATAGTGCTTCATATGTTAAGTTGATATGATTCTTACAATTATTTTACTTTCTATTTTATTATTTTTTATAAATAGGACAATTTGTTTTCTGTATTTTTACACAAAGTGATAATAATTAATATCAATTTTATATTTTGAACGTTAAGTTTTTCAAATTTTATTAAAAAAAATTATTTTTTAAAAAAAGTTTAGTATTTTTTTCAAAATAAAAAAAAAATACAATTATTTTTGAAAATTTCTTACCCCACCCCTTGAACTTTTAGGCACCATGTACGCTTTCAAAATATTTATTGCTTTCGGAGATGTATCTCTGGACACACTTTTTTTACTCAACATTGGTTTTTTCCGGAGTTACCTCTACGAAATGTTTTCATTTATATAGCTCTGGAACATATTGGAAACATTCTTTAGAGTCCCTTCATTAGGAGGTTTTAGAGGAGCAGCAGTCTCAGTTGGACCACATTCAGGATGTTTTGCCTCGCTATCTTCAGATAGTGGAGATGGGGCGGACAGACATTGACGTCGATTTCTTCTCTGAGGGGTCTGACCACAAGCGTATATTAGATGGGATGATTATGGTGGCACATGGAGTACTTATGTACCGCAGACATTGTACCAGGACAGATGCGATCGATGGTCGAGGGCGCAGACCTGGTGGTTGAGGAGGCGGTAGAGGCAGAGGAAATGAGGAATATGTTGTCAGACACACACAATAGTGACTGTGGTGTTTTTTTAATGTACTATATTTTGATGACATTGATGTACTACTTTTTGATGATGTTTATGACATATGACTTCTTATATATATCACATATTATTTTATTTACGAATATATGTTATTTTATATTCAACTACAACAGTTAATTTTTATTTGCAACTAACAAAGCTGGTTTTTCTTTAAAAAAACTGTTCTGATAAGATTTCGCAGATGCATCTACGAAATTTTTTTCGTAGATGTGTCTCCGAAAGCATCCAATGTAAAAAGAAAGAGTGCGTATGAAGATGCAGCTCCAAAAACAGAGGATATAAAAAAAATACGCTAAATGGATAAAAATATCAAGGGATAGATTAAAAAATTATCATATTTTTTCTATTTATGAAAGAATTATATTCGAAAATCTGTTTGCACAAGTTATCTTTCAAGCCAACTTTAAGAATGGTACTACTAATCATTATTAACAATTTCATTTCTCATGAGAAATAGTAACATGAGCAATAGAGATAACATATAAAAAAAAATTTCAGTTTTTTTTTCTGAATAAATATTTATTTCAAAAAAAATTATTTTCATTTATTTTATTTTTGGAATATTTTTTATTTTCAGGATTTTTTAAATTTTTTAAATTTTTTTAATTTTCAAAAAATATATATTTAAAAACCTCATAAAATTTGTTTAAGTATTTAAATTTAAAAATTGATATAAATTTAAAAGAAATAAAATTAAAATTTAATTAGATAATTTTGATTAAAATCAAAATCTATTTAAAATTAATTTTAAACCAATTCAAAATCGGTTATGAAATTTAAACTAATTTTTATGATAAGTGATTTAATTTATAAACCATAATAATAAAAATAGTTTAATTCATATTAAATAATTATTCAGGCAGTTGATAATGTTGCTCGAGTATTTGATTTCAAACGTTGCTTATATTAGTCCATATCTCCCACACCAGTTCATTAACGGTTTGAACCTCCCTTGTAATATGTTCCAAGTCTTGCAATAGTCGCCCTAAACCACACCTTCAGAATTAATTCACAACGCAATAAAAAATTTAAAGCATCCTCAACTCGTTTTTCGTCTCTGGGGCAATGAACTGCACACACCAGTTGAGAGATCTCGCCAACAAAATCTCCAAATTATATTGAAATTTTAGAAAGCATAACGCCATCTATCATCCATAACATAAATGGAATGAAAAAATATATTAAAAAGTAAAAATCTTTATACAAACATAACAGAACGTCTTACAAGTAATGACATTAATTACAGTAACAGAGCAAGTAGCCTCCTTTCATCAGATCTTACATCAAGCTGATTGAATGAAAGACCAGTTACCTAGTTAGATAGTAAATGATAAGAAAAATAACAACAAATGATGCTACCAGCGAGAACATTCTTCGGCTCGATTTTGTCTCAAATACCTGAAACATCATACACAGAAATTAAACATTTCTCCATGTGTTGTCATTCTCCAAACATCAAAAGAAAGCATGAGATAACAAGTGTGCAAGCGCAGCAAAGAAAAATTGAACTATAGAAAAGTAGAACCATCAAGTACATACCATTTTGAATTTGTCCATAGTTCCTGAGAGGACTCCCCTTGAAGAATCCATATCATTGCCCTGCATAAATACCAACAGATGGTTAATGCAGAAAACGAAAAATGAAGAGCTATTGTTAAATACTTTTGTTAGTTGCAATACAGTACACACCATATGATCTAGCATCCGGTTATGATTATCCACCTCTTCATGTATATCACCTGACAGCTGTTGCAATCACATTCACACGCATTAAAACCAAAAACAACTCAATTCCTATCTTCAAGTTCCCAAAAGAAAAAAATAGCATGACCTTAAGAGAAAAGCTATAATAAAATTGTGATGGCTATTAATAAATGTAATAAAATGAAGAATTTTTTCAAGACACGTAAATTATTTATACAGGATAGCTTGCTGGGAGCCTAGGGTATGTTACAAGTAATGATAAACTTACTCTTTTCAGCAGATTAACTCTATCTTGCAATCCGTCCATTGCTTGTTCATTATCATGTTCATCAATTTCATGGGAAGAGCCTGAGGAGTAAAGAGATGATGCTCTGATGCCGCCCTCCTCAATACCATCAAAAAGAGCAACTCTGTTGTTTCGGGTGTCTCTAAAACGGAAAAAATATTTTATATAAAGAAAACATTAAGAGCCAAAGTAGTCAAGTCAGGTAATAAACACAAGCAAAATAATTGCATACAATATCTACGAAAAAGAGAGATTAATAATAAGGAACAAAATAGGTTGATCTCACCATTTATAATATCTGAAGCAAAAAATAAATATGTTAATCATTTCTAAACAATAAAAATTATAAACAAATAGCAAATAAACCTTAACGACATGGATAGACAAGGGAAAACTGAAGTGTTGAATTAACCACTTAATGCCACAGATAATGATTGGTAACACTTCTAAGGAAGTATGCATCAAGATATAATAAATAAAACACATTGCCTCATAATTGGTACAAGAAGTTACATGCCACTGATAACTCAGTTATCCCTAGGCCTCATAATTGGATATGTTTGGAATGGTAGTATGTGATGGAATGGAGTGGTAAGTAAATCGGATTCCATTGTTTGGATTTGCATATAATCGATGGAGCGGAATGGAACAAGATGGAATCCATTTCACCAATTTTCATTCGTCTAACTTGGGGTATATGCAACGGAATGAACTAATGAGTTACGTTCCATTCCGTCAAATTAACAAAAATACCCAAACAATGGAATGGAATATCTGATCCATTCCTATTAGAGTAGTAAGCAATTCAGATTGAGTATTGGGAATTACTTGTTACTGCAGGTCAGTAGGTAGTTTCTAATACTCAGACTGACACTTGTCAGTCTTGAGTTTACAATTGCTTACTACTCTAATAATTCCTCTCCACTCCGTTCTAGTCCATCAATCCAAAGATATAAGGCTTTTATATGTTTATTTATTTCCTATATTTAAGGAATAAGGATAGCTTATCCTTTTATTTCTTGCTCATATTTTTGAATCTTGAGCCTTTTCACCTTCATTCAGCATTCTTCTATTTAGGCCTCGCCTCAGGAGTCGGTACTAAATTGGATTGAGCTCCCTTCATTAAAGTTGTAATCTTAATCTTTGGTGTTAACCCTCCGGTTTCTAGGGAAGAGGGCTTTGGTAATCCGAAGTTTGTTTAGACGATAAGTAAAGCATCACTAAAATTTTTTCCACTATGGATTCAACTTCGGGTTCTCTCAAACGAATCCTCTTTAAGCAGAGTTCATCAATCATTAAACTCCAATCACTTGGTTAGTTGTAATCTTATTCTAACTATTTCTATGACTTACTATTTATTATTATTACCTTACTATTGAACTCTAACAAACTCCTTCCTCTTTGTTCAATCCTTCTCCTCTCTATCCATTACTACTACTATTAATCTTCTTAACAATCAGATAATCAGAGTTATTCTTAAATCATACCTATCAAAACCAGCACGAGAAGTAAAACCAATGAAAAACCTCAAAACAAAAATTCACCAATAAATCATACATATCCACGGATCTGAAGCATGTATCGTCATAAACAACAATTTCCACCATATCCAATTGAATAACAACCGACACAATTCATCTGAATTTGAAATAACAGATTAACTGGATTGGAATTGAAATTGGAAAGGAATTAATTAATGGATTAATCAATCTCAGCTCTAACCTTCTGGAATTCATCATGTCTTACGAGATCACAGATTCCTCAACCGTTTGCTCGATTGTGTTTCCTAATGAAATGAAAATTAGGATGAATTAATTGATTAATAGAAAAAGCGAAAGAAAATGAGAGAGATCAGATTCGAGATCTGAAGATGAAAACGAAAGAGGATTCGGGAAGTTACGCAAACCTGTGTGAAGGTTGGAGTGGAGGAGATAGAAAGAGGTTTATTATATAGGATGGATGCGAGCTAGAGAGCTTGACGAGTTTTACACTACAATTGTTCTTACTTACGGTTATTGATTGATTAATAGGGGTATTAAAACTATTGTATTGCTGCTAGTAATATACAGGGCCCACTTATTATCTCTTTATCTGCTTCTTTTTTTTCGGTTTTAAATCAAAAACAAAAATACATGATTAGAGAGATTTTGTTCTTTTCTTGAGCACGGGGTGATAAAATTAATGGATTGAAAGAATATAAATTATATTGTTAATAGATGAATTAAGTCTATTACCAATCCACTAAATTTTTTTTAAAATTATCTAATCTAATCAATTCGTTAAGAATAAAATTCATTTAATCTATCCGTTAACAATAAAATTTATCTATTTCGTCCATTAAAATATTTTTAATGGATGGATATCCATCAATCCAATTTTATTTTTATTTTGAAAAAATAAACGTATTTTCTTTTTGTTTTTTTAAAAATCGAGTTAATTTTATTTTCGAAAACTTTATTTTTTGTATTTTAAAAAATTTGTTTTTTAATATATTCATACAAAATTGAATTTTTTGTTTTAAAAAAACCATTTTATGTATTTTCAAGAAGAAAAAAATTGTATTTTCTAAAAAAAAAAATTTTTTGTATTTTTGAGATAAAAAATTGATTTTTTCTATTTTCGAAAAAAATCAATTTATTTCATCGTGTCTAAAAAATTGATTTTTTCTATTTTTGAATTGGATGGATTTTGTCTTAATGGATCTAATTGCCTCCCCTAGTTGTTGTTGCTTCTGAATTTGGGTTTTCATTAGAGTGCATCTCAGCAAGAAAATTGTGAAATCATATTCTAAGTCTCTATTTATAAAACTAATAAAACTAAATTTTCTTACTTATATTAAATAAACTTGAGATAGTATAATTTTTGTAATGCTATGACTAAATTGCATTAAGACTGATTTAATAGGGAGACTTTATGAGATTCTCAACTCGAATAATATAAAATGAGGCGTTGTAACTCACTTCTGAAAAAAGATATGTAAAAATATTTAGAAAGAAGATATTATGTAAAAATATTTAGGATAGACAATTAAATTATGTCTTTCATGTCAAATTTTGATAAGTTGATCCTTTCGACGAATCATTGTTTTTAATTTGGCATATTTTTGAGTCCATAAATGCAGTAGACTTAATCACCATGCATATTTCACCATTTATGCACAACTTCATTCATCATACACAACAATTAATCTATGTTACGACATTCAACAAATAATACCAAACAAAAACAATTCAACAAATGCACATTCATAAGCATTCAATAATGTTATTTCGTCATGCATGAAATTTCTAGCAATAATCTAATGAACTCAAGTCTACCAACTGGAGCAAATGTTTCATCAAAATCAACACCTTCTATTTGAGCGTATCCTTAAACAACTAGCCTTTCCTTGTTCTTTGTTACATTACCATATTCATCAGACCTATTCTTGAATACCCACTTAGTACCAATGACATTTATATCTTTAGGTCTTGGAACTAAATCTCATACATTATTCCTTATGAATTAACACAGTTCCTCTTATATAACATTTATTCAAAATTCATTAGATGTTACTTCTTTTACATTCTTAGGTTCAATCTTGGAGATGAAGCAAGAGTTGGAAATCATATCTATGGATCTAGTGATGACTCCATCTTTCAAATTTCCTATGACAATTTCAATGAGATGATCCTTCTGAATTCTGATAGATGGTCCTTTGTTGGTGTGAGTTTCTTTAGAATTTGTGCTTTCAGACTCAATGTCAGACCTATTGTCTGAGAAATCTGTTAGGACATCAGTTTGTTGAGGAGAAACATCATCTTCATCCTCAATTACATCTTTTTTCTTCAGGATTGTCATCAATGACAACATTTGTAGACTCCATCATAGTCTTCGTACTAGTGTTGTATACCATATAGGCCCTGCTATTTATATAATAACTTATGAATATCCATTTCATCACTCTTTGGATCCATCTTTCTTATTTGCTCACTATCTGCCAAGATGTAGCACTTACTGCCAAAGACATGAAAGTATTTAACATTTGATTTTCTTCCTTTTCAAAGTTCATACACAGTAGCTTTAGTTCTAGATCTAATGGTCACTCTATTATGAATGTGACAAGCAGTGTTCATAGATTCTTCCCATAAATGGTAAGGAAGAGTCTTTGCATGCAACATGACTCTAACAACTTCTTGCATGGTTCTACACTTGCATTTTACAACTCTATTTTGCTGAGGTGTGATAGGAGTTTAAAATTCATGTCTGATCCCTATAATTGAGCATTATTTAGAGAACTTGGAATTCTTGAATTCCTTGCCATGGTCACTCCTTATCTTTACAATTTCACTCCCCTTTTATTTTTGAATACATATGCATAACTCTTTGAAAATATCAAAAGTGTCATATTTTTCTCTAATGAATTTAATCCATATGTATCTTGAAAAATCTTCCACACACAAAAATACATATCTCTTTCCAAAGACTTTCCACTTGCATAGGTCCCATGAGGTCCATATTAAGTAACTTGAGAAATTTTCAGGTGGTCAGATGCTAAAGCTTCTTGTGGGACATCTTGGTCTGCTTACCTATTTGGCAATCTCCACATATTTTTCCTTCTTCAATCCCCAATTAGATAAACCCCTGGTGGCTTCTTCATATACGATCTTCTTTATCCTCTTGAGGGTTAGGTGACCAAATTTATGGTGTCATAACTTAGTTTCATTAACCTTGGATATCAAACAAGATAATGGTTGAGATATCCATATATAACAATTGTCCTTAGATATGGAACCCTTCATTAGCACTTCTTTCTCTTTGTTAGTGACAATACATTCAGACTTGTTAAAGTTTATGCTAAGACCTTTATCACATAGTTGGCTAATGATGATCAAGTTTGCAGTCATACCTTCTACCAATAACACATCTTTAAGACAAGGAAAACCTAGACTGACCAATTTTTCTATGCCTTTGATTCTTTATTTTGCTCCATCACCAAAAGTTACATAACTATTTGAGTAATGTTTCAATTCTTCAAGATATGTTTTATCTCCAGTCATGTTCCTAGAACATCCAATATCAAAATACCAATCTTCTTATGAGTAAACTCTAAGAGATGTATGAGCTACAAGACTTGTGGCAGGTACCTTGGGTTTCCACACTTTCTTTGCTTAGACTTTTTCCCCCTCTTCTTTTGAGTATTAGATGACTATATAATTGAGGATATCCATACAACCTATAGTAATAGGGCCTTATGTGTCCATATCTTCAACAGTGATGACATCCCCAATCAGAATTCTTTTAACTTTTGTGTTGAGGGGACACATGTTGAACATGTTGTTGAGACATGTGGTTCATGATCAAAAAATCAATTTTCTTCTCAGGAGTGACAAACTTCTTAGATAGGTTTTTTATTTTCTTGTTCATGGAGTTGGAATCAAATCCTATTTCTTTCACATTCTTGGACATCTTACTAACTTTAAAATTTCATCTAGTATATTTGAATCATTGTTCAACAAACGCACAAACTTTGTCATATGTTCAAGCTTGGAATTTAATAAAGTGACTTCTTCTTCCATACTTGTAATGGTTGAGACAAGCTTATATTTTTCCCTATAAAGCATACCTATGATTTTTTATGTTGCTCAACACTCATGCATGCTTCCTTCCACTAGGTGTAAAGAAGCCTATATATTGTAGCTAACTCTTTATCAGTCATGTCTTCATCACTAGACTCGCCTTTAGGCTCATACTTTCCAGTGAAAGCCATTATTGTGTTGGCTATTTTTCCTTCACTTTCATCATCTGAATCAGATAATGTGATTGATAATCCCTTTTTTTGTTTCTTTAGAAAAGTATGGCATTCAACTTTGATGTGACCAACCCTTTCATATTCATAACATTGTGTTCATTTGTCTTTATTATGTTTGTCTTCATCTCTGGTCTTGCCATGGGGACTGAGGTTTGACACCTTGTCTTAAAAATTTGTCATCCATATTCTATCAATTCTTCTCAACACTTTATTGAACTTTCTTCCAATAATATTTATAGCATCTGATAGAGTTTCTTCAGTATCCTCTCACCTTGATCTTCACTTTCTTGAGAGTTTGATACAAAGGTTACACCTTTGTACATATTTTCTGATCTTCCATTTATAGCCACTTCATAGATTTGAAGAGAGCCAATGAGTTCATCAACCTTCAAGCTGCTTAAATCTTGAGCTTTTTTGTTACCTTCAAGTTAAACTTCTTAGGTAGAGGTCTGAGGATTTTTTTGACTAGCTTCTTTTTTGACATCTTCTCTTCCAATGCAAAAACATTATTAGCTAGATCACGAAGACGAATATTTAATCCAGATATAGATTCATCTTCCATCATTCTTAGATTTTCAAACTTGGTTGTAAGGAGCTCCAACCTTGACATATGCATGTTAAATGTGCCTTCATGAGTAGTCTTGAGAATCTCCCAAGCCTCTTTAGCTTAAGTACATGTGTTGAAAAGTCTGAACATGTTTTTGTCAACACCATTGAATATATCATTCAAGGCTCTGTCGTTTGCAAGAGCTTCATCATCTTCATCTTTAGACCAATCAGCTTCAGGCTTTAAGCTTGTTGTACCATCTTAAAAAGTGATCACATGCGGTTTCCAAACTTTAACCGCAACATTCCAAGTCTTGTTGTCTATAGATTTAAGAAAGGCAACCATCTTAGCTTTCCAATAATCATAGTTTGTGTCATCTAAAATAGGTGGTCTATTGATTG